TCCTCGTCGATCCCACGATGATCCCACGATGATCCCACGATGATCGATGTCTTCAATGATGAACTATTCATTACCTGTAAAATAAATAGGTGTGAGAATGAAGAAAGGAAACAGAAAAGGAAATACAAGATTATCTAGTTAAAATAAAAACCTGAAATATCTGAATGAAATTAAGGCAAACAAGAATTATTAACACATTAAAACAGAGAAGAGACTTGAAGAATTCGAACCCAGAAATAAATTAGCAGAATATTGAAAAATTCGCAGCAAGAAATAAAATATAGAAAAGAAATAAAATGTAGAAAAGAAATAAAATGTAGAAAAGGAATAAAATAGAGGAATAAAATAGAGAAGAGACTTGAAACCTTTGCACAAAGAAATAAAATAGAGAAGACTTGAAAACTTCCAAGAAAGAAATAAAATAGAAAGAAGTTCTGAAATCTTTGAAATAAAAAATAAAATCATTTAAAATCTGAAAAACTCAAACTAAATAGGTCCTGCATCCTGTACTCACACTTTCACACACTCACGCATACTACAATACTTAAAACAAGAGACCTAAATGTGCCTTTTGTTCTAAAATTGCACTCCTATAATTTAAAACTTTATAAAGAAAAAGGTTGAAGAAGAAAGTTGGAAGAACTTTCTTTTATGTTTGCAATTGACAATAAAAATGATAGGTTATTACTACTAATCTACTAATCTCATATGTTATAAGTTAAAAAATTGTAAAGATGAGTGCAAGCTAGAACACAAGGCACAATTTGCGCAAGCTTTTCGTCACGTATCGTGACGAAAAACCTGCGCCCGAGCCCACCCTTCCTCCCACAAGCTCGGAATTAATGTAAAAATAATGCACTGAACATAACTTACCAAAAATAAAACCTGAAAGGTACAAGTACAATTAAGACAAATATGAATAAATAAAATACTTACATAAAATTAAAACCTGAAACATATAAAAATGATTAAGACAAATATGCATCATTAAAAATTACTTACATAAAATTAAGACCTGAAACAGACAAAAAGTAATTAAGACAAATATGAAACATTAAAAAATACTTACATAAAAATAAAACCTGAAACATACAAAAATAATTAAGACAAATATAAACCATTAAAAATTACATACTTGAAACTAAAACCTGAAACAGACAAAAACTTGAAATTAAAACCTGATGAAGCAGACAAAAATAATTAAGATAAATATAAACTATTAAAAATTACTTACATAAAATAAAAACCTGAAACAGACAAAAATAATTAAGACAAATATAAACCATTAAAAATTACATACTTGAAACTAAAACCTGAAACAGACAAAAAATAATTAAGACAAATATGAAACATTAAAAAATACATACTTGAAACTAAAACCTGAAACAGACAAAAAATAATTAAGACGAATATGAAACATTAAAAAATACTTACATAAAAATAAAACCTGAAACAGACAAAAATGAGTAAGACAAATATAAAACATTGAAAATTACTTAGTTGAAATTAAAACCTGAAGCAGACAAAAATAATTAAGATAAATATAAACTATTAAAAATTACTTACATAAAATAAAAACCTGAAACATACAAAATTGATTAAGACAAATATAAAACATTAATAATTACTTACATAAAAATAAAACCTGAAACATACAAAAAGTAATGAAACAAATATAAACCATTAAAAATTACTTACATAAAATAAAAACCTGAAACATACAAAATTGATTAAGACAAATATAAAACATTAATAATTACTTACATAAAAATAAAACCTGAAACATACAAAAAGTAATGAAGACAAATATTAGAAACAGTGAAAATTAC